CTCGTTAAGAGTAACTCTTCTCTCGAGTGAACAAAAACTCGATTCTCTTCAGTATTTCTGAATTCACGGATCTCTTCAAAGTAATCTTCATTTGTATACCAATTCAGTATTTGTAACTCAAATAACACGTATATAAATACGGGAAGTGAGATGAGAAACACAATAATAAGACGCTTACGAACTGAACATAACATTATTTGAGTAGAAATAAAACTTTTGATAAACTTATAATAAATAAATTGTTGTATATTATATCAAATATATAATAACATTTAGTTATATTTATATAATACGGTATTATTAATACCATACGGTAGTTATCTGAACGCCACAACTCGTACCAAAAATAATATTCATTTACAGTTAATTGAATGCTATATTTTTGTGACACATTTTAAAGCGCTAAGCAATGGGTTTCTCATTCATTCATAGTTACAATTTGTAACTTACAAATGCAGTCAAACACTAGATTCGTAATTCACACCATTGTCTCATAATATGAGATCACATAATCATTACAATCATTATATTCTGTACAATATATAGATTATATTATAAGCTTTGAATTAATGAATGCAATCATAAGTTAGTGTTTGTTTTAAAAGGCAATTCTGGCCAATAATCATGTACTTTAGTAAACACATCAATTTACTAGGAATATCATTTATTACCGTTTATAATAATACACAACCATATCTAATGAATGAATGAATGTCATCATTAAATATCTATTTTTAGCAATGATTTTATTTTAAACATTGTTAGTGTATTGACTCAACCATTGATCGTGAATTAAAATTGCTTTTAATATATTCTATAAACATAACATCAATTCATATATTTAGTGAAACCGATCGTACGATTCCGTCAATTCAAACCCTAATTAAATAATTATTTAAAAAATAATGTTTTAGAATTAAAATTCATACAAAAATAGTAAGAATTTAACAAATAATTGATAACCAAATAGTAGTTAATACATATAAGTGAATAGTTATTGTCTTAGAGTGACATTCTTGAGGGCCAGCACTCGTTTCAATTCACTCTCGAGTGCCTGATTGGTGCCAATGAGACCATCGATGACTCGCGCCGACCATTCAAAGTACTCCTGAACCCTGTCTTCAGTCCAACCGACGGGCGTTTTGACCAACAAATCATTCAAATTATATAATTTGTCCGAAAGTTTCACTAATTTAGCGGAAGGACTGATGTGTGGGCTATGGATCACTTGAAGCTCTTTGCGGCGCTCTTTCGGCAAACTCTTGTCGTCCGTCACTTCGGCCACAATAGACCTGACATTAGGGCCGAAGTGGCGCTCAATGTCATCGATGGTTGTGTTCGTGTCCTCAACCGTGTCGTGAAGGACAGCGGCGCAGAGGGTGTCCACGTTTAGACATTGTGCCAATTGCACCAAGGTGTTCATCACACCAATCGGGTGGTTTATATACGGTGTTCGTCCGTCTTTGCGGAGCTGATCCCTATGAGCGATGGCCGCGAAGTTGACGGCGCGGACCAGTCGTCCCAATCCCTCGTCGCTGTCACTCATTTCTGTATTACTCGTCATAATTACCACACTTTGAATGCAATCAACAAATGTGTGATTGTTTTGTAACAAAACTTTTGTTTGAAGGCATGAAAACATGTGACAACTTATCATTCATTTACAGACAATACGTTTGCATAGAATTGTGTTTTGAATTGAATTTATGAATGAATTCTTGATTCTTGAAGTTTATAAGTTGTTGCCATTCATTGATAATTAACTCAATCACTAATTAAAATCCCAATTAAATTAATGTACATTTACTGTATATAACGTGTATTTATATAAACAGTATTTAATAGTATTTAACACACTTTGAAAGTCATTGACAGTAATATTGAACACTCAATACATAACGAATTGAAAGCCAATTATAGAATACAGAATTGTATATAGAATTAAATATAATTTTATATTATAATCACAAAAAGTTTATTTTTATAAAAACATGGCAACAACCTGGACAAATGTAACCAGGTTTATTTTTGAAAAACTTCAATTTTCACAAAAAACATTCTGTTTTAACAAAAATTTTATTAAATTAAGCAATTGTTTTGAAGATACTGTACTGTATATACATTTTTAATTACTATCAAATTGTTATCATTAATAAATTGATTTATTTGTTTGTATACTTATTAACAAAAATAGCAATTAATTACGTTATTGCCCTTGATTATTTTATACTCATTTCAAATGAAATCTTTCATTGTATACAAAATATAATTACATGTGTTTTAAGTGAATCACGAGAAATATTATTATCTTAATGAGAATTCAATAGCAGTTTATTTAATTTGCAAATCAATTATTGATAAATAGTATACTTTGAACACCACTTGAAGAATATTAAACTGCATTTCGTTAAACAAACGCTAAAATATTTTGATTTTCTAATTTTCATTATTTTAAAATTAGTTTATATTTTAATCGATAATTATTTTATTGTTTTTATTAATAAAACAATTCAAAGTGAACGGATTTATAAAACTTAATAATTGTTGTACAATAAAAATCTACATTTTGTTTATTAAATGATACTTGAATTTTAATAAAGTAATGTTCATATTCTGTATAATTAATATTTATTATTTACAAACAATTGTAACAAAGGATGACTAAAATGCTAATCAAATATATAACTCCTGTGGTTATAATTATTGAGATTTGGTGTCTATTATGGAGTATATTAGGCGAAGAAGCGCTTCCACCGAATGGATCACTCTTTCAATTATTATTTCTATTTGTAATGTCATATATTTGCGGACAAATCGTAGC